TTGGAGAAATAATTCTTCTCATTGCTTATTTGTTAACAAGTGAATATATATATAGGTTCTGGTTAAATTCTCATTACTTTCCCACCCCCTGTGTGTGCCTAGGTAAACGTAATAATACCTAAGCATAAAAGTGTGTATGTATGTTCGCCACCTGGTGCCAGACAATTTGCTGCATACACTTGTTCTTTTGTACGTGTGCGTTCTCATGTTTTTTGAAAATGCATCCAGACTTGTTACTTTTCTTTTCGAAAGAGTAAAGCTCGTTTCTGTAGGTGGAAGGGCCTGCCCCGTTGATGGGTGGGTACTCTTCAGGACATCCATTTTTGTTTTCCCTCCCTCTCTCCACAGTCCACCCCAACTTACCGGCGGCCACTCCTTCTCCGTAAAGGTGATCGGAGAGTACACACTTGTCTTCAAGTTGTTTTGGGATGTTTCCGTTAATATGTTTGAAAAATGTGTTTTGTGTGCGTGCCGCGCTTCGCCCTTTCTCTCTCTCTTTCTCTCTCTCTCTTTCTCTCTCTCTCTTTCTCTCTCTCTCTCTCTCTCCGATGTATTATTTCGTCAGTAGACAGCCCGTTACGAGTTAAACATGCTTTGCGCTTTTCGAATTATGGACGAGGAAGATGGTACATGCGGACGGACGTCCGCTCCCACATTGACGTACTCATTTTCACGCATGTAAACTCACCATGCACAAAGTGCTAAGGTCGATCAACATATAATAATATATATATATATATATATATCAAATTATTTCACGAACTCTAAGACCCACGAGTTGCAGTTACAAACGTTCAGACACTCATTTTTGTGACAATGACAACGTCACTGTCTTTCATTAGTTTAGTATCTCTGTTTGCTCCATTAGCATTCAGTCCATTCACATATGCTCGTACACGCACACACAGGAGAGATCGATCAATCGACCCACCAAGCAGTCGATAGATAGATACAGATTGAGAATTTTTCAAATGTTTCTAAAAATGCATACAGAACAATGTATCACGGCGTCTGCAACCTTCCTGCCTCTATGTATTTATGTATTTTTACACAGTCGACCACATCTTAAACTGGAAACTTATACATCTCCCTGTCACACTTGATTAGTTGTTTTATTTTTTATGGCGTTGATATTCTTTCTTTCATCATTATAAAAAAGAAGCCACTTTCATTTAATGAGTGACAAAGTAGATAGCTTACTTTCACAGACATAGAATAAACAGTAAACTCCCATATTTGTACGTTTCTTTTTTCTTTTTTTTTTTCCTTTTCATTTTTTTCCCGCACAAACGTTCAGATACACGCAACGCAACCCTTAAATTGTTGGCGCGAATATTTGTCAATAAAAGCATTCTAGGCTTACCGATAAAATATACCATTAAAAAACAAATACAAAAAAAAAAAGATAAAGATAAAAAAAAAATGACAGGCGTATTACTTAAAACATTAATAAATTTTACAAAAAAAAAAAAAAAATGTAAAAGTGCGTCACTTTTTTGGCGTTAAAGATCCTGGGGCACTATTAGTTCTTCTTGGTAAGGTACGTTCATTTCTATACGGAAAGGTAGCATGTAGAACAGGTATACACACTCGGAACCTCTGTCGTCCTATGCCAGACCCAAATCGTCTTAATTACTGAACCCTCTCTTCTGCATTTTCTCTTTCTTTCTTTCTTTCTTTCTTTCTTTCTTTCTTTCTTTCTTTCTTTCTTTCTTTCTTTCTTCTCTCTCTCTCTCTCTCTCTCTCTCTCTCTCTCTCTCTCTCTCTGCACACTCATATTTTTTTCATGTACATGTGTGGATGGAAACGGACTCATTAATTTGCATTCATATATTCTTCAGTTCAGTACATTGTATTCAGACAGTACACACTGCTTCGTTACCGCCGCCGCCACCAAATACACAAAGAATAGCATATAAAATTTCTTTCATCAAATGGTACATTTAAATTTCGACAAAGAGCTAGCAGCAAGATATTCTCACAGACATTTATTCATTTATTTGTGTGTTCAGTCCTCACTAGGTGCACACACCTGTGGATCAGTGACAGGCAGGATGTGTGTGTAGTGTAAGTGATGGCAGCTCAGAATGAGAAATCGGAGAGACAAGTTTAAATTCCAGTCAAGTGTGTTACATTGACTTGTGCACAGATACCTTTGGGAAAGGTTTGAATCCCTCCCTTCACCCCCTATCTATGGGTTTAATAGTAGGAGTTGTACCTGGAAAAATCATTGCTATTTTCAAAAAATTCTCAATGTAACATTCACTTGCCAAAAAAAAAAAGAATTATTCTTAAAATCCAAAATATGTTCCAGCTGGAAAAAACCCACAGAGCATTGATAAACGCAAGAAAATAAATAGTCCAAATCAAAATCATATTGTGATAGACAAAACTAAGCTTCGTGCATACCTACAAAATTATTATATACATTGTATAAGCATAATACTGTAATAAGTGTGAGTGTGTGTGTATGCATGTATGTATGTATGTCTCTCAATCTACATGTGTGTGAATGTTTTTGAATTTATATATGAAACAAATCTATCTATCTATCTATCTATCTATCTATCTATCTATATATATATATATATATATATATATATATATATATACATCCACAGATCTTTATATATATGTGGTGGGGGCATGCATATCCGTATATCTATCTTTATGTGTATACATATGTAGATATATATCTGTGTGTCTATGTTTGTAAATATATGTATGAGTCAAATATCTTCAAATCAATTTGATATATACTTTCAAGAGATATACACTTCCACAGATCTTTATCTAATCTTGAAATTGGTACTTCCTCACATGATGACATGACATGACTTATTTTCTCAAACTTTACTGTTTGTTGGTAGCTATAAGCAAATATATATACATAGGTATCAGTACTCATAACAATGGACACTAACACATTATAAATCAACACCTACACATGTATAAACAGATATACATATCTACTTTCTCATCTTTTATATTGGGATATGCGTATATTCATTTTCCTACTGCATCCTGTAAATATAGAACTAACTGTATATACATCTAAATGCAACTCATATCTGTATGCATTATATTAACAGACAATATATTTATACAGAGTTGTATATATGCTTGTATTCAGTTTAAACTTTGAGCAAAATTTCCTTAATTTTCATTTGATAAGCACTTGTAGATTTTTGTCTGAAACAATATCTTAAAAGAAAAATGTTGGTGTTTCTTTTTATCAGATGTGGACTTGATTTTCCATTTCTGGTTGTTTCTTTTTTGCTCTGTCTTTTGATTCTTTTAATTTCTTGATTCTGAAATTCCTTTGGAGATCCAATTAACTGTTGTAATGAAAAAAAAAAAAAAAAGAAAAGGTAAAAAATAAACAGGATTTACCAATTGGAGAGCAAAAAAAAAAAATGTTTAAATTTGATGAAGCCTTTCGTGATCCAGTTATCTATCAACCTGTATACCTGCAGAATTATATGAATGGAGAAAGATGTGAAGATGTCTGAAGTTTTATCCAAAGAGCTGTATTGAGGATGTTTCTGTCTTCTAGCTTGTCCAAAAATTTTCAGTTCAGACTGACAAAGTTTCATTCTCTACTCATGGTCAGTCTGTTTTTTTTTTTTTTTTAAATGTCAAATTTTAAAAAAATATGTAAAATTTTAAAAAAAACATTGTAGAATTTTTTAATAAAATTGTAAAATTAAAAAAAATAATTGTAGAATTAAAAAAAATAAGTTATCCGAATATTTTTGTTGTCTCAGTACTTAATATTTTTGGCTGGCCAGCATATTCATTTTGCTGAGGTCTAGAGATCTATTCCCTAAGCACTGCCTTCTATTTTGTCTTTTAAGGGTATTAAAGGCACTGCTTGATAATTCCTGTTTTGATTGATATACCTCAGGCATTTTTCAAATATCCACATTAATTATAATCTTCATATAAAATTCACATAATTACAGTATCCACCTATGATTCTTTTTTATTTTTACAAATATTAAATCAGAACTCTTTATTTTTAAAATGGAGGTAACCAACAGACTTTTTTGAATTTTGAAAATTTATGTTGACATGCATTAAAGCAATACTCAAGCAGTTTACTAACTGGAAGTGTCATTTAAGTATACAAAACACTTCTGCATCAGAATTAGCTCCTTTGATACTTACTTTGATAGGATTTATCTATTTACTATCACTTTTAGGTTGCAACTTTATTGCTTGTTTTTTTCTTCTTTTTTTTTTATCTATAACTTTTCTAGAAAAAGAAATCAAGGCATGAAATAAATGTAATCACAGATGATCAGCTCCCTTGCACTCTCACACGCACACACACACACACACACACATGCACACAGATACAAATACATATATGCTACATCATAGATATAGAGTACACACAAACTTGCTACTTTTTGCGTTCTCTCTCTTTTATAAGAAAACACTTAAGCATGAATACACACACACACATATATATATATACATATTCATATTCACTTCACACACACACACACACACTAAATATATATATATGCTTAAATAGACTGACTACCATTATTCACTTTGTTACGTTTGGAAACGTAATCAGGTATATACTGCATGCTAGCACAAAGTTGCACATATAGACAGGGACATGCACTCCTATAGATTTAATCATATATTCTTTCTTTTTATGTGTCGTGTCCTTCCAGGACGTAAGCGATCATGGCTCTCCACATTCCCCTATCCCTTGTAGCTCCCAATAAGTTTCATCCCTCTGCCGCCTCCCCCAGACCATGTTCTGTAATCCACTTGCTTATACACACTTCAAAATTTAGCTATGCAATGAGGTATATTTACTGTCTTTTCCTTTTGTTGTCCTTTCTTTCTTTCCTTTTATTGTCCTTTCTTTCCTTCCCAATAGAAAAGAAAAGAAGTACAATAATTCTTTCTATCCTTTTATTGTCATTTTACTGGCTTTTCTTTATTTCTTTTTATTATCCTTTCTTTCCTTTTTGTAAAGAAAAGCAAAGACACTGCTGCAGATTTTAAACAAACTAAACTACCTGTTTAAATCTCTCTCTCTCTCTATATATATATATATATATGTATACACACACATATATCACAATAAATATGCACATATATAGTTAACTGATGTAGAATGATGGCTAACAAGATAGTTATTCAAACTATTCTGAATATAATGATTTTAATTCTCATTGGGCACTTTTCAAGCATCATCACTTTGTACCTGATGTAGCCAACTTTTTAATAATCTGCCACTGTGTTTGTGTGTGTATGCTAGTCTATCAATCAATAAGTTTGTGAGTTTAGTCTTCATTCATGTATATGTGAGTATACCAAAATAAAAAGTATTAGAAATTGTTTTATGTGTGTGTGTGTGTTGATGCTCAAATATGTGTCAATATGTTCGATTAGTTTTGCATTCAGATGTTTCCTATGTGCTTACATTTAAATAAAAGAAAATGTATGTCTTTACTTTTCTTTACAAAAAGCTTGTTAACCATCACCTTAAATGCATTTTAATACAGTGACAATTTGAAGAAAGTTAAAATGATAGGTATGGAAACAGAAAACTTTGTAGGCCAGAATGAGTGGCATATTAAAAAATAAATAAATAAAATTGTAGACTAAAAGACCTTTATGCAAAGGTTAAATAACATTCTTCTAAAGGTAATGGGACACCCAAAATCTTATAAAGATAGAAAAATATTCTTAATTTTTATCTATAAATACTAAATAAGTAATTTCTACTTGTATAAGAAATGATGTAAAAGAGAAAAGAAAAGAAAACATTTTGACAAGTCTTTATTAAAGAAGTTCGTTTCCAAGATAAAAATTGTTGAAATGCAATTCCTTTTACTGAATCTGACATTCTTCATCTTTCCCAATGCTTGCAGAGATAGAGCGTTCATTATAATACAAGTCAGATGCATTCTCTATCATATAATGCAGCTGTTTAGCTGATAACAAAATTGAAGTAGGGTTAAAAACCAACGATTTGCTTAACAAATCCTGGACAGGTCTCTCATCATTTCTGCTCTCTATCAATTCTACCCCCACCCCCTTTAAATCATTCTTTTTCACATTTGAAATCATAGATTTTATAGATGCATGCTAAAGTAAGCCTCCAGGTAGGTAATCAAATCTTTGTTCAAGAAGCATCTTGTTAGGTGTTCACTACCTATAATATTAAGATAATATTAAGATAACACACACACACACACACACACACCCACAAGAATTTATTCTCTAAAAATAATCAGCATTTTTGCTAAAATTGTATGCAAAATAAATCTATACCTTTTTCATAAACAGACACACACACAGACACACACAGTGTTTCCAGATGCTGATGGTGTAAAGGCATTGGCTCATCTGGTAAAAATGCGAGTCTTTCTTACTTAAATATATCTGTTTTGGGGTTTAATCTTATGAGAAAGCATTTCCATGTTTGCGTGTATCACTCAATACATTTTTGTACTTGTAAGTTTCGCAACACAAATACATACCATGTTGGTGATATTGAATCATATATGTTAGACTCATGGAGATATAAGCATCTTATGTGAAGGAATTGTATGTAAAATAATAATAGTATATACATTTGGATATACACATATGCATATTAGCAAGATTGTAGATCTTGTATGAAGCAGTTTTATTTAGATTTTAAACTTGGTTAAACAAGGAATTTTATGCAATGTCTTTAGATGACAAAGGTTATTATTAGCTTGAAGTAAAAAGTTTCATGCTTTCTCTTTGGCACTACTTGATTGAAATAGGAACGTTGTATTTGGAGATGGAATTTTAGGAGCCAAATACACAGAACAACTTTAATGCTATAAGAATTATCCTTATATTTTTGTAGATAAACATCCCCAAGTAATCTACCAGAGAATAAGCAAGCAAAAATAAGCTGCTTCATTTTTTGAAAATTAAACTTTAAAAAAATAAAATAAAATCCTTTTAATAATAAATAAACATTCTTAGTAAATTTAATGTCAAATTTTACTGAAGAAAATTAAATCATTTTTGTTCTTTTATATATACAGTGTAACCCAGATATAAGAGAAACCCGGATATAAGAGAGATTTTCTCTGGTCCCAAATTAGAGCCTGTGTTAATGTATATAAAATAGACCAAACCCGGATATAAGAGAAACCCGGATATAAGAGACTTCTTCTCCGGTCCTGACAACTCTCTTATATCCGGGTTACACTATATATATATATATATATATATATATATATATATCAGATATAATAGATATATATATATATATATATATATATATATATAAGATAATATATTCCACCACTGTCTCTTATTTCTTCCTACAAGCTAGTTAGCATGTATTCTACCATTGAAAGAAAGTTATTTGTGAGGGACTTGCAAAGTGTATATGTCATGTAGAGGTTATTGTACATCTTCTCTTGTAACCACATCCAAACACCTTGTTTTTGTTTTGGCCAGTTTTATAATCAAGCTTTTCTT